ATACACATGTGAATTTTTATTTTCTTTTTTAGTAACATATGAAATTGGCTTTGGAAGTTTAGGTTGACCGCCAAACTATTTCATTTTTTTTTAATTTTACCATAATAATTTTACTAGTACAATACCCGTGTATGGTAAGGGTGATTGTTAAAAAAATTATACTAATTTTAAAAAGTAACCAAAAATGTTGTTTTAATTTTTTTTGTCTAAACAATATAGATATTATAGAAAAGCGCACAAATGTGTAAAAGTGCAGCCACCAGCTGTATACAAGAGGACAGGTTAAAAGACCACCTAGAACCGACCCCAGCAGCGTAAAACTCTAACAACTCAAAAAAAACTCAACGACTCAAAAGACTCCCAAGAAGAGAATAAAAAAGAAAAAAACGACCCAAACAGGATAATACCCGAGTGTACGATCCAAAAAGGATAATAAGGTCACACTCGAGCTAATCAAGGCCAACGTTCCAGACCTAAAACATAGTACTAACACAAGCACCGACACATACGATAAAAACAATAACAAACAGACGAAACACAGGAAACACGAAAACAACTACAAACTAACAACACGGCCTCCTTCAGCAAATACATCCGAAAATGACAGCAGACAAAGCCGATTCCGAGGAGAGTTCCGAAGCTCAGATACCACGCCCGCCACTGCATGAGGCCTAGCAAGACGACGACCCAAGCGTAAAAAACAATCTTAAAAACCTACCCACACTCCATCCACAAGAAGCCACAATCTCCCCCAAACCGGATAACACACACTAGCCAATCCGACACAGTCTCGAAGCCTCCTATCACCACTAGGCAACTCCGGGAGGAAGGGGACAAATGACGTCGACGCTCAGCCGCTACGACCCTGCCCAAGCGAAGCGACATCCTTTCCACCCAGCCCGCAAGGATTAACCCCGACCCAACACCACTGCACAATCGAGGAGCCGGCGACCAGACCCCGGCAGAAATCGAAAATCCAAATCGGGCAGACCTCCGAGTCGGGCAAAAAGAGACGACCCGACCGAAGCCGACTCAAACAACTGAAGCCTCATCCATGCACCTCGGCACCAGTCCAAGCCCCGATATCACTGAATTCCGACGACCATCGAGTGAAAAGAGAAACCGTCGGAACCCTAGCCTTACCCAGTGGCGTCAGACTTAGGACGAGAGCCTCGCGGCCATGGATGAGCGGTGGAGGCCATCCACCAACGATCCCGGACGACATCTGAGGGAGTTCGACCTGCGAGAATTGATGAAGGCCGAGTAATTGAAGTTGAGCGAATTGGGGATCTTGGTCGCGAGAGATTTTGTTGGTTTAAAATTTAAAACTTTTTTTTTTTTTTTAAATATGATTATTCTTATTTGAAATGACACCAATCACATATACGACTTTACTCCTTTTAAATTATAGTATTTTCTTGATTTATATCATATAACTATTTTCTAGTTAAATTTATTTAGTTGACAATTTTTTTTAATTTTTACCAATTATGATTAATATATAATTTATTTTATTTGTAAATATATATTTATTTATTTTACACACGATATGGATGTTAAACCGAAGCTAATTAAAAGATATTTAATTTGATATAATATATATGAAAATTGATAATAATAATACAAAAGTTAACTTTTAATACATATTTACAATTATTATAATTAAAAAAAAAAGATTAGGAAAAAAAACAAGTCATGTCTTATACAGCATGTTCATAAAATGATATTAAAGCACAATTAATGCTCATAAAAAGATCATAAATAACCAATATAATTATGCATAATTCCAAGACAAATTATTTTTAGATTGGAAATAAATTAAAATATATTCAAGCAAAATGATGAAGCATGACATTTTGCCGTATAAGATCCCGAAATGTGCAAGCCAAAGTGTGCAAGTCTACCACTAAGATTGAGCACATTCAATATAATTGGATAATTTTTCTACAAACCACCATATAAATTAATGCATGCTACTCAACTTTGCCCTACACTTTTTTTTATTATTATTATTATCATTTTTCCAATATATATTGAAGTATTTAGAGGGCATAATCATCAGGTCGCCACAAAACTACATTTTGTTAGCCTATTCTTGTTTATTTACTCCTTGGTTTGAATCTGGTATATCTTCAGGAAGTCTACACGCATGCTTCACCACAAAATCACATAACGAAAACAACTCATAACCTGGATAT